TCGTATTTTCCTGAATCTAATCGACGGTCTGAAATCTCTTTCCTTTCAAAGGTGATTTTAGTTTTGAGAAAAGCTGCAAGTCACAGAGCAGTATTTCTGGACTATAGAGGGGCTGAGTCACCTGCGTGATTTGATGTTTCACCAGAAAAGCTCTGCATGAGACATGATGTGTGAGCGGGTGTGTTGTCGTGATGAAGCTGTCAATCACCAGTTGCCCATAGCTGAGACTTTCAGAATCACCTGAATAATTTTTGTGGAGGAATTATTAAGTGTAATGCAAAATCTGATGCAGATTGGTTGCTCTGCTCTCTCAGTCATTTTGAATGTGACAGCCACACAGTTCACATGCTCACTCAATGGCATCTACCACCCCCACTGACTAGCACAGTGAAGTCATCATTGTTCACACGTGTGCATTCCAGTCCACTCTCCTTGGCTGCCAGGTTACATCCCTGTCGCGCAAACCATTCTCATCATATTAACAATGGTTGGACTTTTTCCGGAAAGGCCTTGTACAGCTTACAATAATGCCTGGCAAAAAAAAAAGTGTTCATCAAATTTAGCCATCATTAGTGCTAATGTGGTTTGGTTATTATTGTTACTGTTATTGCAGTGAAACTGAATGGTTTCATACTTATGTATTAATTATGATAGGACATTTTAGAGATCCAAACACAGACTTTAAGTTTCTCATAGGTGTGTCCTTCTTTTGCACAGAAAGATGTTGTTGTCCATTATCAGTAAGGCATGTTTTCTGAGTCATAGTTTCAGTAATTAAAATGGGTTTTAGTTAAACATCCTCATCTGTTTTCCAGACCCCTTTGTGACCAAAGGCATGCATTCACACATTGGCCAGCCGAGATTTAGTAGCCTAGACTGGTTATTAGCCTAGAGGAGCAAGCTGGCCTGGTGCCTGCGGCCTCCACCTTAACAGAGTGACACTCCCGACAAAAATGAGCCACCTACTTTGTGACTGGTGCCATGTCTTTACGTGCTATAAGCCTGATTTTGTGTGATAGTCTTTAGTGGTGAAACATTAAACATCATTGCAAATCGGGTGTATATAAGTGCCATTTTTCACTTTCCCTTTATCTGATCAAAGATAGTTTTCTATGTTACCTCAAGAAAATAGATGGACAGAGAAGCAGGTGCCAACTAGTGACAGTTGTGTGCATCATCCCTCTGTCTTGTTAGGGAAGCACCCTCCAGCTGTAAACCCTAATTGGCTTATACCATTAAGGTCTGGGCAGCGTTGGGGATTTGCCCTGCCCTTCTGTCTTCCCACATCAAGATAAAGTGCTTCTTGGGCCAAAATGGGTGCTCGGGTCCATTCTAGTTCAGTGACTCATTCTGCCCATCCTGGGAAGTGCTAAGGAAGGACCACCAAAGGCTCTCTTAATTCATTCAATCTAGAGGTCCTTCGTTTGGACCAAACTCAGGTGGGACATAGATCTATACACGTAAGACTCAGCCAGATCCAGAGTTGTATTGTCTCTTAGGATAGCCACTAGTTACACCTGGCTTTTTAAATTTAAGTTACGTAAAGTTTAAAACCCAGTTCTTCAGTCACACCAGCCACATTTCAAATACATCATAGCCACATGTGGCTACTGCATTGGACAGTGCGGATGACAGAACATCCTCATCATCACAGTACATTCTGTTGCATAGCACACTGTTCTAGAACAGGGACTGGAGGTGGGTTTTTCTCTCCCTTGTCACTTCAGACTGATTGGCAGTGGCTTGTCTGGAGGACTGTGTAAAGAAGATTCTGAGGCCATATCTCAGCCCCAATTATCTGGTTACTTAGTAGCAATGTGTGTCCACTTCTGGATTTATCTACGAAGTCAGGAATGGATGTTACATGTGAAAACCCACCAAGAGTCCAAAACTAGTTTTGTGTTCGTGTCACATTTACTATACCTGCTAAGAAACAAGACTGATTGATAATGGTTTTGTCTTTGCTTTACTCTTTTAATATCCTCTAGTGAAGGGTAACAAGTAGAAAATAAAATTTACAGGGGAGAAAGAAAAGCTGGTATAGTTTGGTATCATCAATCCCTGTATTACCACCGTTCAGAATTGGAGGTCTGCATCTGATGATATTTTCAAAAATCTATAATAATGTAACTAGGTACGAAACTAGAAAATGGGTTGTACCAGTTCTGTAACCCTTAGGTGACCTTGGGCAGATGATTTACATAACCTTTCTGAGCTATAGTTTCTCCATCTTTGGAAGGGAGTGTAGCAGTGTCTACTTCCTTCAGTAGTGGGTAGGGGATGAGATAAAAACCTCACTTAGGAGTGCCTGACACTGCTGCTCCAAGAACTTGGACATCAAACCGTATTATTTGGCATATACGACGCAGCCTTGGAAGAGAACGTGCTCTGCTAATCTTAGCAGGTATGTGACTGTATCTAATTGTTTACCCTCTCTGAATTTCAGTTTCCTCTCTTCTAAAGTGGGATAATAGCAGAACCTTCTTCAAAGGGCTTGCTCAGGGTCGAAGGGGATAATGCAGGTCAAGGTAATGCAGGGACATCTCGTAGGGGGCACACTGTGAGCTTTCAGTAACTGCCAGCTGTTAGGGTGAAATGACAGTGTTTAAATTAGGGGCAGCCTAGCCAAAGGGAGAAGGTTTACCAAATCTGAAATCTCCTTCAAATTCACTAATCTCCAAACTATAGTGCTTACTAAACATGGTTAAGTACGTACGTACCTTTTGTTTACTTTATTGCTATTTCAATAAAAATTATTAAGCCTCTTTTATTAGGTTTTTGACACAACTGATTGAGGTAGTAGTTGGAGAAGCTGTTAGTTATCATAAAGACCTTTCTTACTTTGTGGGACTTTTACAAGCTGCAAGCTCATGTCTGACTTGACAGGCCAGGTGTTTAAGGCCAGGGATCAGGGCAGGAAGGAGGAGGGCTCAGCGTGGGTCAGGGGTGAGTTCAGTCCCATAGGGAGTCTGTTTGATTGTCTGAGAACCTGCCCCATGTGGTCTCTGGGGCGTGGAGGAAGGCAAGGCTCTTCAAAGGCACCAGATGCCACTGAATACTGCCATGACCCGCCACTGCGTCCTCCCTGTCCTTCAGTTAGTGTGTGTCTCTTATCAGTGTGGATCACATTGATAAGCCAAGGTTGGCTCCTGAGGCTTCTTTTGAAGGTGAGTCCACAGTGGGGGGTGCAGCCCGAGCATCCTGTACCTTGGTCTCTGCAGACATCAGAAATCACTCCTGACCGATGGAGAACAGCTTTGTTCCCAGTAAAAATATTTGGGTCCTTTGGTGTGAAGACAGAGTGCCAGGATATTTTGTATTTAATGAATTCTGTAACTGGGAGTTAAGCATTGTACTGTTACTAAAAATGACCTTTTCTTTCAGGAGTTTCACATTTTTAGGTTCTGAGGACATCTCATGGAAGAACACGTTTTCTGGAACTCACATCTTACGTCACTGTTCTAGTGCGCCATGCTCAAACCCCTGCATTCGGCTTTGCGTCCCCCCTTCCGTGTCCCCTGTGCCTCTTATTTGAAATGCTTCTTCAGCTGGCCTTGCTTTTCTACTTTCGCTCTGACCATCCAGGTTTTCCGCTTATCACCTCACATCAGTATTTCTTATGATGACTTAAAGTTTTCTTTGGTCTATGAAAGAAATTACATGCCCAGTTTAGGAGACTCGGAGAATAAGGTAGAGAAAGGAAGAAAGTAAGCTGCCATGTAGAAACAGATGCCACTTCCGTTTGGACTTTCCTGTCTGGTCCCTTAGGAGTATGTACCTGTGGGTGTGTGTGTGAAGGAAATTTCGGTCTGCTCCCTCTACAGTTTCATATCACGACTTTTTAAAACAAATCAGCATGTGCCTATGTTATTAAGTGTTTTTCAGAAAATTCGAATGAATACAGATTATTTCCTGACATAGCTAGGGCAAAATTTATTTAACAATACGATTAGCTGTTTAGATCTCCTTTTTTAATACTAAAACCAATGCTTGTTTTCAAGGTCTATCCTCAGTATAGTGCAGTGTGTAAGAGTATGGGCCTTGGATGGAGTCCCAAAGACCATGGTTCAGACCCCGGGCCTGCCGTTTTAGCTAGGCCTCAGTTTCCCTCCTTGTAAGATGGAGATCATAATAGTACTCGCCAACAGAATTACTGCCACTGAAATGAGACACATGTAAGGTACTCACTTATACAGAGCTCGCACATTGTAAGTTTCATTAAATGGCAGCTGTAATTGTAACAGTCACTGTCACTGATTATATGCAGTTGTTTTTTAGCATAGTTCCTAGAAGATAGATTGTAGCATCAAAGTAAAGTACACAAATGTTTCAATATACTTTTGATAATATATTGCCCTATGCATTTTAGAAAGATTCTAGCAATTTATAGTCACATAAATAGTATAAGTACATATCTAATATCACCCCTTGCCATTACTAGATACTGTGTTTCTGATTATGGTATATTATAACACATGATCTATGTTATAATTTGCACTTTCTGATTGCCAAGGGAAATGACTAGTTTTAAATATTTAATTGGCAAATAATAGTCCTTCATAAATTGTTTACTGAAGTCAATGCCATTTTTCTAGTGACTGTGCATCCTTTTTTCTAAATTGATGAGTTCTTTGTATATTATTATGTATGACCCAAACTTATTTAGCATTTAGAATTTTCAAATGAGGAAATGAGAGCCAGACAGGCTAAGTAGTTTGCCTAGTTTCCTAGAACCCAGCCTACTGGCTGTTTTTGTTACTCACCTTTGTATTTCAAGGACAGTATAGTGCTTTGCACATAATAGGAGCAAAATGAATGTTGTTACACTGACAGGAGCCACTCTGACTTCTGCTCCTGGAACGGGAGCCTTCGTCACAGCCACAGCCTCGGCTTCAATGAGTCAGCTTCTCCTGGACTCGACTTGATTTTCCCCATGTGTTTTTGATGGTACTTTTCTAATACTCTGTGTAATCGGGTTGCTTCCCTCACTTCACTCCTAGGTAGCAAACCTGAATTTGGCAAGTGGCATCATAAACAGAAGCAGCGCTTCAACTCCCCCAACCCTGCGGCCTGTCCTCAGTCCTGGTGGCCCGGTGTGGTCAATGCCGGCAGACCCCCAAGCCCCTGAGAGCCACTCCACCCCTCCTGGAAGCAGGTACGTGAAGGACCACGGAACTAGTAACATTAGGGTCACACAGGGGTGGCCAGGGGCCCGAGTAAGCCATTTTCACCTGGAGCTCCCTGCACAGACCCTGGCAAGACAGGTGCATTTCCCCACCTGTCCCAGTTCTGTGGCACGTGAATGGGCCTCATGTCACTTGTAAGACAGTTTGCAGACAGATCACATGAAAAGGAAATAGCTGATGCAGTTCAGTAAATTCACTTCCAAATGAGAGTGAGGGTTTGTACTGTATGTCCAACACCTGCCTGCGGTCACCGCATTCATGCATCGACGTTCACCGTTCTCTCCACATCTCCTTATTCTTTTTTATACCGTGTACTACATTGTGTTTCAGTAACTTTGGACTCTTCTTGTGAAGAACGTACTTTTCTCACGTTTTCATCCAGGTTATGTACTTAAACAGCCTCCCTAGACAATGTTCATTTGGGAAATAGGAAGGAAATTTCCTTTATGTTGTTGAGAAGTGGCAGAGAATAAAATCTGGATAGATTCTGGTCATGAAGCAACTTCTTAATTAAAAAAGAAAACACTGTATTGAATTCTAGTCTCAGTCCACATTTGAAGTCTCTCTGTCTAAAAGAATGTAAGAAATGGATTCCCAGTATATCTCGCTTCAGTGGCTATTAATATGGGCCTGATTGCATCTGTCCATGAGTCAGAGGAGCTGGGGAGGAACGTGACTAATACAGTGAAGCATTCTGATTAGCTGAGACGTTGTTCCTCCAGATAAAGAAGCGCGGCCACAGGTGTCCCCTGAGTCTCCGCCGCCTTGTCAGTGCTTGCAGCCTCTGTCAGCCAGCCTCCCCTTGAATGCTGCCTTGCCCCAAGGAGGTGACCAAAGACTTGGGCATGGAGGAAGTACCTAACTGTCATTAAAATGTTGGTGGTAGACTATTTCCTAAGGAACTAGTTTGGGAAACAAAGGCTCTGTCCAGGAAACAGCATAAACATAAACACACTGCATCGTGCTCTGGTGCCGTGTATTTCACACCAGTGACCACTGTGGTCTAGAGTGAAGAGTCATCTCTATTAAAATGACAAAGAATCGAAGACTGAGAGGCAGGGCTTTTCAAAACAGGACATCCTTCCACACAGTTCTCTTCGCAAGAGAAGTCTGTCATCTGGTGATTTACAATCTATAGTAAACACATTCCTAAAACCTAAGTCATAAAGAAGAAATTCTGTTTATGCCATAGAGCTTTATTTTCCATGTGAGATATTTCCAAATACTCCATTTTCTTTGTACATTCAGAGACTTGTTTCTATGGAAAGCATTCTCCCTGCAATCTTAGATATATTATCTGTGTGACAAGGCTACAGCCATTTTCCGTACTTTAAACAAAATGTCAGACTACACATTTTGGAGTAGGGTTTTAGCATCTGTCAGAGATGGAATGAGGGTTTTTTTTAAACAGCCTGCTCTTGGTGTAGCACCTGTAGTGCTGAGACACATGAAGATGAAGGGACCGGTCAGGGTCAGGGTCAGAGCCAGGCAGGAGTCAGGGACCAGCACTGTAAGGGACCTTCTCCCAGCCAGCCCGGCCCATGAGCTGTGGTGGAATGACATGTAGGACAACCAACTTCAGAGCCACTGGCGCCAGAAAGCAGCCCCTGTGGAGTCCCCTGGTCTCTTCCATTTGGTGTCAACTGTACCTACAACAGTCCTCTCCTCACCTATTCCTCAAGCTTACAGGCCCATCTTTAGCTCCCATTCCAGTGCAGGGTGGCTCTGGGAATCTTCCTCTGCTCCCAGGGAAGCCCTGATTGTCAGGACAGCCTGGAGGCTCCTTTTGGAAGTTCTAGTTCAGGATGGAATGCCCAGAGGTGCCCACCCTAAAGCAGCCCTAAAAGCTCTCTCAGAGGTCCTTCCAGATCTGGCTCTGATGTGGGCTGCAGCGGGTGTTTTACACTGTGCCGTGCCCCAGTGTCTGCTCTTACTAGGTACGTCGCCGTTCTGAGGATATTTACTTACTCTCGTGTTATTCCTTCCTTAGCAGTAAGTGTAGTCACTCTTAAGTGACCAAGTTTAGTGAATGTGGGATTAGTAGTTTAGAGATGTGAGTTCTATTACTGGTTTTTGACACTCAGTGACCCCAAACTATTCATTGAATGTTTTTATTAGGTAAGCATACTCACATATAAACTGGCCTGTTTTGAGAGCTTTCAGATTGCCCTTAAAGCACTTTGATCTCCCTAGAAGTGGGTGCTAAGAAAACAAGAGGTGCTCTTACTTGTTCTTCTGCAGCAGCAACAGAGGATTCCAGTGTAGATCAGCTCTGATTATTCACTCGACTGGGGCTGTCCTGCAAACAGTAACAAGATGGAAAGAGAATCCATTGCTGGCCATACTTTTCATTAGGATTCAGCGACTTGGTAGCCACAGGAATGAAAACTGGTGACTCACGAGAACTCTGCAAATAGTGTTATTTTTCATTTCCCCGTGGTGTTGCTATTGTTCTCAATTTTATGGATCACACAAGTTTTCACCAGACAACCTTGTTCTTCCCCCGCTTTTTGAAACCATCCCAAATGTAGCCTCAGGGCTGTCGTCTCCCATTGGGTCAGTGTGAGCTCAGCCCAGCTCCTCAAATCCCTCGGTTCCTTTGGTCTGTCTGGAGTCCCTGTTCGAGCTTTGTTGTGGGAGAGGAAGGCAAAGAGCCCACGACTTGCCCAGACAGTCTGAGGCCTGGCCATGTAGCTTGCAGTTCCCTAGACACTCTAGAGTTGGACTTGGCCAGCCATCCCTCTGTTGTTACTTTTCAGAGGTAATAAGCGAGATTAATTGCAGGCCATTCTCCAGAAGAGACGGAGTAGTCAGGGCCAATGCAGTCACATGTTTAGAAGCCTGAGGTGTACCTCCGATTGAGGCCAATTTCCCATTATACAATAGGGCCTCCAGGATGCAGGTATGAGTGTTCATGGCCTCTTTTTTTCTTAAAGGGATCGTATTTGGTTGGTTTTCACATGCTGATACCTGGATATTTAACAAGCTTTTATTTAGCCAATGAGATGGGGTAGGATTTTTTTCGAGCTGCTCTTTACTGGTCTATCTTCTGGGCACACGGAGAGTTGTTAGGAGCTGAGAATTGATTGCAGCAGCACCTTCTCATTACCTCCAGTCTCACACAGAGCTGACCCACGTCAGGGAGGAGCACTTTCTAGGGGAGGAGCGCTCTGTGGGTTCACAGTGCATCTTCTTTGTGAGACCTAGAGGGTTACTGTAAAGTCTTGGCTGCTGCTTGGAATGATTTGGGAAGGACAGGGCCTCAGACGGCTTGGCAGGAACCTGAGGTCCCGTTTTTTTCCAGTCCAGCCCTTCCTTGTAGATCGGGCTGTCAGGGAATCCCACTAATGTCTGGCTTCTGCCCCTGTGTATGTTTTTCCAGCATTTGTCATTGAATTATTTTTATCCATCTCTGGCTTTTTCACACACGCAACCTGAGGATTTGTCTGTTCCTCGATATGAAAGGTGGGGGAGGTTAAAGGGGCATCCGTGAGTTTGCTGTGACAGGGCAAGGTGTCACAGGCAAGGGCTGCTCGGCTGGCTGACCCTGCTCTAGAGGACAGCTGTACCTCTGAACTCTGAATTCTGTGTGGGGGCAGGGAGCCCAGTGAAGCACCAAAGCTGCCCTCTAGCTCCTCAGTAACAGTAAAGAGTTTGGTACCCTTCTTCACATAATTTTTAGGAAGAAGTTTTTCAGAGATTCTGAGTCTAGTTTAAGTAGTTCTTTTCTGCCTTCCTTTAGATGATTTCTTACAAATGCTCCTGGAGATTCACACCTCTGACTTCCCACCTTTTCATTCTCAATCATTCCTCAGAAAGACGGAGTTTGTTATTTTCTTTAAAAAATATGTTCTCTTCACTGTCCATGTGTCAGGCATTAGACCCTGGGAAGTAATGGTAAGTAAAACACAGGAGTTCCTGCTCTCCCAGGCCACTGTCCAGGATGCACCTCCATGTTTCCTGCCAGTGCTGGGCGCTGGGCAGGGTCCGAAAGACAGTCATGGTGTTTGATCGCGGGTGGGGAGGAGGAGCCACGTGCAGGTGGGGCAGTCGGTGCCGGGAGCCTTACACTGAAGAGTCACAGTGTCCAGTGCAGACAGTGAGAAGGAAGAGCATCACGAAGAGTGTTCAGGAGAAGATGCAGGGACTTACCCCGTCACGTGCTGCAACACAGTGGGCCTCAGAGACAGGCTGTGCAGTGCAATAAGCCAGCCACACAGGACAGCTGCTGTGTGGTCCCTCAGATGAAGTGTCCGAAGCACCCGAAGTCATAGGGACCGAGAGTAGAAGGGGCTGCCAAGGGCATGGGGGAGAGAGCAGAGGACTTGGAGTTGAGTGGCTACAGAGTTTTGCACTGTAAAAAAGTTCTAGAACTCTGTTGCACATCAGCATGAATATACTTAATACCACACAAGTATACCTAAAAAATGGACAGTTGGATAAGAGTAGTAACAATAAAATGGTTAAGATGATAAATTTAAAGTTATGCTCTTTTTTATACCACAATAAAAAGGAGAGGAGAGAGGTGTATGTAAGGTTTTAAGAAAGTCCCAGAGTTCAGCAGAACTTACTCAGTGATCAAAATGGTAAGATTTTTTTCTTTTGCCATCCTCTGCCTCTGTTTAAGGGAATTGTTTAGGACCTAGTCCTTCAAATGCGTCTATTTATTTAAAAGTTCATTAACTTTATAGGAAAGGGGGCCATCAGCCCCCTTTTAGGAAGATGCCATGGTGCAGTGAGAAGAAAAGGGACTTTTCTGACCGATCTGCGTTTGTTTTACTGAGTACGTGACCCTGGGCAAATTATTTAGCTTCTCTGAGCCATAATTTCCCCATCTGCTTAAAATGCAGGTAATAGTGCCTACCTCATTAAGTAGTTCTAAGATTTAATTGAGTTGTGTATGTGAAAGTAGGCAGTATAGTGCCTGGTTTTGGTACAGGTTCCTGATAATAGTTTTCTTTCCAGAAAA